GACAAAGTCAAGCTTCTCACACTAATAGAGTAGGCCTTAACCAGAGCAAAGCCAAATAACCCAATTATCTGGATTCTCCTCTTTGCCCCCTAGCATGTCCCAATCGAATAAAGCTATCAATATTAGGCCCTGCAGTGTCACTAATTTCACAGCAAGCTAAATTATACATAAAATAGGGTCATAGGTCAACACCTCCTTAGAGAGGTTACATACAATCCTGGCCTACAATAATACATAAAATTTTCATTTAATGAAATGGACCTGAAAGATACTTAAGCTTAATTTCATTAGGTGTGTCATAAATATAAAGGGAAGGGTAAACCCCTTTGAAATCCCTCCTGGCCAGGGGAAAGCTCTTCTCACCTGTAAAGGGTTAAGAAGCTAAAGGTAACCTCGCTGGCACCTGACCAAAATGACCAATGAGGAGACAAGATACTTTCAAAAGCTGGGAGGAGGGAGAGAAACAAAGGGTCTGTGTGTCTGTCTATAGTCTGTCTTTGCCGGGGATAGACCAGGAATGGAGTCTTAGAACTTTTAGTAAGTAATCTAGCTAGGTACGTGTTAGATTATGATTTCTTTAAATGGCTGAGAAAAGAACTGTGCTGAATAGAATAACTATTTCTGTCTGTGTATCTTTTTTGTAACTTAAGGTTTTGCCTAGAGGGGTTCTCTATGTTTTTGAATCTAATTACCCTGTAAGATATCTACCATCCTGATTTTACAGGGGGGATTTCTTTATTTCTATTTACTTCTATTTTTATTAAAAGTCTTCTTGTAAGAAAACTGAATGCTTTTTCATTGTTCTCAGATCCAAGGGTTTGGGTCTGTGGTCACCTATGCAAATTGGTGAGGCTTTTTATCCAACATTTCCCAGGAAAGGGGGGGTGCAAGTGTTGGGAGGATTGTTCATTGTTCTTAAGATCCAAGGGGCTGGGTCTGTAGTCACCTAGGCAAATTGGTGAGGCTTTTTACCAAACCTTGTCCAGGAAGTGGGGTGCAAGGTTTTGGGAAGTATTTTGGGGGGAAAGACGCGTCCAAACAGCTCTTCCCCAGTAACCAGTATTAGTTTGGTGGTGGTAGCGGCCAATCCAAGGACAAAGGTGGAATATTTTGTACCTTGGGGAAGTTTTGACCTAAGCTGGTAAAGATAAGCTTAGGAGGTTTTTCATGCAGGTCCCCACATCTGTACCCTAGAGTTCAGAGTGGGGGAGGAACCTTGACAAGGTGTTTCAAGGGTATGGGAGGAAATTGCCATATATGTCACAGTTACTATTAATTATAAAAGTGGATAAAGCACCTTGTGACAGCCAGAAGCTGCAGCTGACTTTGAGGAAGACATAAATAAAAAGCACTTGGACACTGAAGCACACTGAGCTTCCCTTGCACCTGGGGAATTTTAATACTGTTTTGGTGCCAAAAGGGACCGGGTAGGTCCTCTGCTGTAAAGGGTTGTAGCTTCATTGACTTCACTGGAGCTTTACTAGTTGACACGAGCTGATGATTGGGCCCTTTTGTCTTTTGTCTTATACTTTCCAATTAGATTGTTAAGCTCTTTGGGGTAGGGAGGTAGCCTCTTTGTGTTGTGTTTGTACAGCACCTAGCACAGGACTAGGACTAGGGTTTGTGGGGGCTACAGTAATACAAATAATGAATAAATAATGTTTTTAAGTAAAGAATTAATCATTGTTTCTTTCATTCTCTAATACCCTTCTCCAATCTGACATTAACACCTTCCTTTCTTCCCCGCTCTTTCCTCTTCATTGTTGTTTCTCTATTTCTTTCATCTGTTGCAGTCTATCATTTCCCTGCCCTATAGTCCCTTCCTAGATGTTGTGGGCATCAGTTAGGGTGAATACATTTTAACTGTTGGAAAAACCTGCCCCTGGAACAAGCAGCGAGTCTTCTATATACTTTTGAATAGCTCTGCTGTTTCCAGGCCACCCTTAGTAGACCCTACAGGTCCTGACATAACCAAATGCAATCAGCCAGAATCCTCTCTTCCACAGAGGCTCTCCTGAACAGGGATGGACAGAGTTGCAAAAGTCTGAATCTGGATCTCAAAGTTCATGGATGTTGACATACAGGGTTTGGCTCACTCTCAAAGTCTAGATCCTCGCATACACTTCCTCCTGGCTGGCAGTGTTCGTGTCTGGGGTTTTCTCTCAGATCCCTGTCTTCCCAGCTTGCTAATAATTGTGTGTGCCTAAGGCAATGTCTACACTGTACTGTAACCGACGGTTAGTAGAACACGAGTTAGCAGACCTGGGGTTTGTTAACCTAGGGGTTGAGCATCGACACTCGTTTGTAACCCCAGGTTAGGAATTTTTGAACCCTGGGTCCCAACCTGGGGCTCCAGCATCTACACTGCATTGTCTGAACCTGAGTCCAGCCACCCATGTCCCAGGCGTCCTCTCACCCTCCCAAAATGTGACTGTTCTAGCCCTTTGTTTGTGGTGCAGTGTGGGCAAACTTAACTGTCCACCACATTTGACTGTCCAGAGGACAAAGTCAGCCCATGGGATTGTGGGGCACTTTTGGCAGACTCCCAGAGCACAAGTCCTGTGGGGCTGTTTCTACAGTGCAAAGCAATAGGGCTTGAACCCGGGGTCCTAGCTTGACTCACCCTCTGGGGTCCTGGGACCCTGAGTCCAAATTTTGGGTTAGCGCAATTCATGTGTAGACAAAGGCGGGGGAGGGGGGGCAGATTAGTCCTTGAGTTCGGGTGTTGGGGAGAAGTTCATTGCATACCAGATGGAACAGGTAGAGAGTGGCAGGGAATTGGCTCTGCCCCCACAACACACAGTACATCTGAGCCAGCTCCCCAGAGGTGGTAATTTACTATTGGTGTAGGCCAAGGGTAAATTACTGTCTCCCTAGGGCCAGCTTGGAGCAGAGAAGGAATTGTGGCTTCCTGGTATGTAAAACCAGGTGATATAAGTGAAGAGTGCACAACACAAATGGCATATCTCCAAAGCAAGAGAGGCAGAGAATAGTTTGAGAGCACTCCATAGACTGAGATATGTCCTCATGAACCATATTTTGAATAAGGTACAAATTAGTAGGAATCTAAGTCTGTTCTAAGAGAATTCACAAACAGCAAAAGGACAATTGTTTGCTCAGCTCTTCTGAAGACCCAGCATTGGAGTGTTTTAAAATGAGACTAGTCATGACATTAGAAGACACTCTGTAGAGAGCAATGATGTTTGTGCAGAGAGATGGCTCTTCCATTTCAAGTATAAACATAAGGCTTTGTCTTTTTTTTTTTTCACTTTAATTCAATACTTTATCACCAACTTTCCCCACATGGCAAAATCAAATTCAGAGTTGCAGGATCACAGGAACACACAATGCTATTTCCATTAACGAATGGAGGAAGCAAATGGTAGCTCACCTGAGCCTTTGTCAGTATTGAGGGTCGCATTGCATGGTGCATCTCAGAAATCACAACTTCTTGAGCAAGTATAGCCTGAAAGCGCTGTCAGCTTTCTAAAACTCTATTCATCTCTTAAAGAGGAATGTCAGCATCAGATGCTCTAATCTGTTGGTGCTCAGATGGTAGTCCACAGGAAGTTCTTGCTGTTATTGGTTGTTTAGGGCCTTGCCCAAAGCCTATTGAAGTCAATGGAAAAACTCCCATTGGCTTTAGCTCAGGCCACTAATGCATTTGGCCAAAGTAAGGTCAGTAGTGTTTTCAATAACTGTCATCTGCAGGTTTCCTATGTTAAGAAAATTGTTACCAAAAACAAACATCCTGAAAGGGCAACAATCCTTCCCGAAACCACCAGCACCATTTTTAATACACTTTTGACATCGTTTCCTTAGGAGTAGGCCACATCTGGCGCTCTGCGGACAAGCTGAAGCAAATCCATGAACTGCATACGTCCTGCCTAAGCCATCAAAATGGGCCTACAGTGGGCTGTGGGCCAGCCCTCTGCACCATGGCAAATCTTCCCCCAAGGGAGTAGCTCACTTTGCACATAATTGTCTATTTTCAAATGGGAAAGGTTGGTAGCCTTGATTCCACTACAAATATTCTTACTCTCACAGGGGAGGTTAGAGACTGGTGACTGGAAACCTTTGCATTTGCTTCATTGAAGCCAGTGGCAAAACTCCCACTGTCCTCAGTGAGAACAAACCCAGACCCTATATTTGCATCACACAACCCATGAGTGGTGCTGCATTTTAAATACTCAATCTGAGACGTGTGCCGGGAGAACATTGCAGGAGACTGAAGTCCTCTGTCCAGCCAACAGGTTCCCTTGCGGGCAGAAACAGTGCAAATGTCCCTGTCCTGCCACTTTGCCTCAATCCTTTCTTTGACTAGCTTTTCGAGGGAAAGAATAATTCATGCTTCCCGCCCATACGTTCCTTGGCCTTGGCCTGAGACAGCTGAAAGTTGCCAGCTGTGATTCCGGCTTTTGTTTAGTGCTTTTTGTTCACTTGGAACTGGCTTGAGGCTACCCAATTCATTTCACATACACCAACCAATGACTGTCAAACTTTAAATCATTTCCAAGCTGGGCTGGGTTCCTGTATCCTATAGAGAGAAAAGCTCCATGACTCATAATCACCTCATCCTCTGGTTCATGGTGTATAAGAAACAGTGGAGGCAAGGACACAGATCCTCAGCTGATGTAAATGAAGCCACTGAATTACACCATCCAAGAATCTGGCCCAAAAAGTTGTGTGTAGAATGGGTGTTTTCCAAACCTTCAGCTCTGTCTAAAATTTATGTGCAAATTCTGACCTCCGTTCCATCCCATCGACTTTTTTTTTTTTTTTTTTTTTAGAATTTGTCTTTCATGCTCACGTTGAATACTGCTTCTTCACAGCTCATGGTTTATTAATAATAAGAACTTCATTTCCTTCTGGCTTCTTTTACAAGTAGTTATTTTACTTTCCCTTAAGGTGCAAATAAAAGGTAATTTTCTCACCCATGCCATCATTCTTCCAAATGAACCTACTCTGAACAGTAACCAATTAACTTTTCATAATTGTAGGATTTCCGGCTGTCTTTGTAGTAGCCTGGGCAGTGGTCCGTGCAACGGTGGCAGATGCAAGGTAAGCGGCAAAGACGCAGAAGGCGCTGTGAGCTATCTGTTTATGGAAAGCTGTCAGATTTGTTTTCATCTCTCCATTCCTGCATGTACCGCAGATCACGTGCTCCCATTCTTACCTGCAAACAAAGTGTCATTTTTAAACAGCAAAAGACAGATGCACCATCAGAGTGCCGGGGTCGATGGTGGAAACCTTAATGTAAAAGAGAAGAAAAGTGATGATAAAAACAATGGGCCAGTTTATTTACTGCTGTGTCTCAGCATGGCTCCACGAGTACCGAGAATAACAGCCTGCATAACCCTACTTTCCCTTGTTTACTTTCTGTGTGGCAAAGCTGAGAGATGATAATGGGCTAAAGCCCAACATAGAGCTTTCCTTTCTCATTTCCCGAAGGTCCGATAGTAAGTTAAATGCCCAAAGCAAATCATTCCTATTGGTCTGATAACTCATTGCTGTGTAGATCCTCGCTGCGATTATAAACCTGTTTCTATTGTATTTCTAAAGGGTTTAAAATCAGACATGGCATTTAGATAGTGGGCAATAAAATTGCTAGGCATGCAGCTAGAGCACTGAAGAATGGTGCGTCATTTCCACTCTGGATCTTTTTCTGTTATATACCGTTTACACTCAATGAGACCAAATATTGGGTTAGCCAGTGTTCAAACAACTGCTTTTTCTAGACCTCGTGATTGATAAGCTATTGGACCTTAAACCTGCCATTAACCCAGGATTGAATACTGATTGGCAGACATATCAAGCCAGTGAATTTTTGGGAGTAAACATTTTATATTTGCAAGGAAGGGGCGAACTCTCCTGACAGGCTGTTTCTGTAAACGAATAGTAACTGAAGCTGCTCAGATGTTTGAAATGTTAAAAGTTGGTGGTACTGAGGGACTGGTGGGGAGAGGACAAGTGAGAAAATGAAAGTTGTATGATAAATGTGATTTATCACACGGTACCATAGTTTAGTACAGGAGTATCACCAGTACATATTGTATATATTCATATTGTGTGTGTGTGTGTGTGTGTGTATATACACACACACACGCTCCATATCCATTACTGCCCATTTTCTAAAAAGGGGCCCCCAAGCTGGCTTCTAGACACATCCAAAGGTTTGCACATACCGTTAGCGATAAGTGCAAATAAGAGAATTTACATTTCATCCTCCCAGACTCTGTCGACAGACGAGAGTCAGGCATCTAGGGTGGGTTTTTCAAATGCACTCAGCATGGGCCTCCTGGCTGCTACTGAGGTCAACAGGAGCAGGGGATGCTGAGTGTTTTTGAAAGTCCCTTCACAACAAACAAGGAGCTAAGAAAAGTCATTCAACACTCCATGTGCATGGTAGGAAGGGACAAGCAGCTTCCAGCCACGGGGTGGGGGGGGAGGTGGAGGGAGAGAGAGCTAGGTGACCCTGCATGCCCCCCACATGTTGCCTTGGGACGATGCAGTGCAAGGTACCAAGAGAGGTGGGTGCGTCCAGCCAGGCATGGAGGTCAGAGAATGCCAGGCAGGGAGCATGGGGTCGGTCAGTCAAACACCCCTCCCCCCTACCCCCGTGTGAGAGAGATGTGTGTGTCACCTCTCCTCATCTGAACCCTAAAGCCTTAATGAGAAGGTAAATAAAAAGAATCTAACGACCCAGTATTTCTTTTTAAGAGGGGCTCAGTCAACTTGATGTTAATTTGAACATTTGTACTGCATAGTTCTTTGAATTACCTTGAATATGAGTAATTTTACCATGTGGCCGGTATTCAGCATAGGAAAATATGGTCTCTCTACCTGTCACTCACAATGAGCAGATATTTGTCTGAATACACAATGTACCTTTCTTCTAGGACATGAACAAAGAGTTGTCCAGCCCAGCTCAGTATATATTTGTGGGTAGTGAAAGTGATGCATGGTAGTAAATTGCTTTGAACCATTCCTGCTGCCTGACAAAGGTTTGAACTATCGACATGCAGCAAAGCAAATCCTCAGCAATTATTACACAGACAAAAGTAAAGCTCTGAGAGGAAAGAATAATTTTCTGCACATATTGACGCAGAGGGCGAGAGCCTGGAATAAGGTCATAGATATTGTTTAGTAGTTGCTCCTATGATTCATCATTTCAGCTGAATCCAAGGGCAAGTGTTGGTGCCAGGTTGTCCACTTAATAGCCATTTGTTTGAGGTTGGAATTGTTACTGTTAGATTGCTGCTTGCTTTATCACTGGGACACAGTAATAGTGAAGACAGACAATTAGAGTCAAGGAAGTGCACTGATCTTGGAGTTTTTGCTTTCGAAGTTTTCTTTGCTATGACGCACTCGGGGGCCTTGATGAGGAGCAAGGCTGGGGAAGAGGGGAGCTTATGGAAGACATTGGGGCTCTGCAGCAGGATACACAAGGGATTTTACATGTCGACCCTGACAGCTATCCATGGGACTGATCCACAGGCATGGAAAGCCCCCCATTGACTTCAATGAGCTTTGGATCAGGCCCCTTTGAGTAGCAGCCTTATTAAACACACGGAAAACTCCCATGCAAATAGTGTCTTCATAACCTTTGAGAGAAGGTTGCTACGCCACATGGCCGGAAAGGAGCAGCTACGTCGTTCCACACCCCACCTCCACTCCACTCACTAGTTCTCATTCTCAAGTTCCACCACCCACAACTACGTCTCTCCAGCCTTCAGCTGGAACAACCCAACCTGCATCTTGAAATCAATACACGAGTTCGCCTATGCAGGACTTCAGTTCTGACATTTCTATATTTAAAAAAATCACCGGCAACATAGATCACTGATTCCTCCATTACCCTAAAAATTACAAAGAAATCAAGCTCCCTGCTCCAGTTTACAGTCTGACACCGTACCACCAGCCAGACACCTGGGAACGAATTCTCTGTAGTAACTTGGAGCCCTCCCCATCTAGAGTCCCATCCCCTGTCCTTGGAGATATTTGCTGCTGGCAGTCTCAGAATGGTGTAACAGGGGTAGGAGCAGAACACATGACATTTTAGCTGATCCGTGCCCTCCAGGGATCTCTCCAGGATAAGCAGTTTGGAAAGGTGGCTTACAGTCACCTTTTTCTCACCCTCTCCTCAGAAGCTCTGAGCATGAGTCCAGGGAAGCGCAGAATTTGGTCTGAAAATTTGTACGCCGGAAGCTGCTGTGTTATGCCTGCACTGAAATGAAGAGGGCTGCATATAGAGCTAGGTGGTGTGAAAGGGCTGTACTGTAGCGGAAGTCCCCAGGAAGGGAGCTTTCAGGCAGCATACATGGCATGGTAACTACTCCACTCCTGGAGAAGACGTGACATCTCACACACCCCCGTTCCCACCTAGCTCTGCTAGCTGCTGCACAGGAATGGCAGTAGGGCCGCATCCCAAAATTCTGCATACCCTTCTCCCCGTTAGGCAGTTAGCATCTGTGGGCATCCTGGAAAGGGAGGTGGGCATGTGTGGCTGGCTCATGGACATGGGGACCAGACGTGTGGGAAAGGTGCCCTGCATCTTTTCCTTGTGCATCCACACCAGGGCCAAGCAGCCAGACCATGATGGGGGTTTTAACTGAGGAACCTTAAAGGACATATAAAAATCCCCCTGCAAATCAACAGTGGAAATCTGGTTTTACAATAAAATGTACAAAAAATAAAAAATCCATCTCAGAACCCTCTTTCCATTGTGTGATGAGATTCATCGCACTTAAAGCCTGTGGTAAGGAAGAAAGCAGTGAAATCTGAGGTGACTAATGAAAAACATCATCGCCGAGGAGAGACAGCTGTAACTCTACAGGAAACAAAGGGTAGCGGCTCCTTTAATGTAGAAGGTGTGTATGAAGCTTTGATGTGAAAAGCCTATAAAGAAGCCATTGTTCCCGTTCCTGCCGGCAATTGCCAGTGTTATCTTCAGTCTTGACCACTAGAGGGCTGCTGCTTTGCAAGGGCACAGCACGAGTCACCAAACCAAGTGGCGGTGTGACCCCCATGTGCCATGGCCTGGCTGCAGTTTCTGTGGGTGCATTCTGAACCCATGCTTAAGCCTCCCCCTGCCACTTTCCTTCATGCAAAACATCAAGGTGAAAAGAAAAAAAGTCTTTGAAACCTGAATTATGGACCCAGCTGTCACAGAGTAAAATATTCCAAAGACATATAGGGCCTGATCTTCAGTCCCCAGATCGGACCAGATTTTGTGCATGTGCACGCAAGAATCTAATTTGCATGCCCCTCTCTGGAGGAGCCTACACAAATCTCTGATTTGTCCTGGCGTATTTATTTTATTGAATTCCATGACTGGATTTATTGGTATGTTTCCACTAATAGAGCTTCTGCCTAGGAGTATTGGACCAAAAATATTGAAACCTGGATTCTTCAAAGCCCATATTTAGACACCTAAAATAAGTGATCTGCTCGTTCAGCAGCCTGCTCTTCAGTTGGAACTGGGGCTTTTTTATTAATTGTATCATGCACCTGTTGATATATTTTCAAAGGTGCTCAAGCACTCACCTCTCCGACTGCTGGCAGTGGGACGTACAGATGCTCAGAACCTTCTGTTTGCCAGAAGCTGGGAATGAGCAACAGGGGATGGATGATCACTTGATGATTACCTGTTCTGTTCTTTCCCTCTGGGGCTCCTGGCATTGGCCACTGTCAGAAGACAGGATGCTGGGCTAGATGGACCTTTGGTCTGACCCAGTATGGCTGTTCTTATGTTTTTAACCTTTGAATTTCCAGTCGTTTGGGATAGATATGGTCAACCAATGATGGTGTTCTTCTTAGGAAAACAAGGAGAGCTTGTAAACCTCCATTAAATACTTCTGGTCTTTTCTCTGTGCATGCACCCCAAAAACCAGAGGCTGTTTATTCAGCCGCAGCTTGCAGCTCTCCATTCTGCTGCACATTCCCAGAACTGCACTCCAGTGTGAATGGCGACCCTTTGACTTCTTCAAACATCTCCCATGCCTTGGAACAACCATAGCAAATTACTCGACACATACGGGAACTTTCCTTACAGATTCTTT